CTTTCAGATTTAACAACTTAAGTCTTTGGCAATTTCAACCATGGAAAGATTAGCAATCAAACAATGTTTTAAAGTTATGGAAGCCTATTACAAAAATGGATGTTCAAACAGAAATGCAATGAGAAGTTCTCAGGTTGCATCATCTCTTGAAACAATTGGCCATCACGATTGTGCAACTTGATACTTTTAGATTTCTTCCTTTAGCGTCATCTCAAAAGTAAGGTCTATGCCAACAAGCCAACAACAATTCAACAGCTGAAGGATGAGATAATAAGGCATATTGATGAAATCGAGGAGCAACTATGCAGAGATGTCATCAAAAATTTTGATCATCGAGTGGAGGTGTGCTGCCAAAGCCTTGGCGGACATTTGGGTGATATTATTTTTCACACATAATTGCCATGATCCAATAGAGAAATAAATAAATTTTCACCAATAATATTGTTTTATTTACTGCTGAATTTGATCCATCTTAATGAAACACCCTTTATAAATTAATAACAGAACATGAACAGGGAGGGATACTAAGTGGAGAAACATTACTTAGACCTATGAAGGAAAGGAAGTTGTGAAGAGCGATAAATTTCCCACTTCCTGAAAGGACATGTCACATAGAAGATTTACCTGAAATAAACCTTGAAAAACTATTTAATTTGTTCTGATTTAATTAAAGTTTTCAGACAATATCTAGATCTCATTTCTCTTTCATATAACTTGTTACATTCAAATTCTTACATCCTTCTTATCCATATGCAACAGTGGGAAGAAAAGCATACCTGTACATTCACCAGTACTGTTAAGATGGCTGATTTATTCAGGTGTTGAGTGTGAAATTTGAAAAGGTTCTAATAAATGGTATAAAACTCTTCCTTGAATGATGCTGTTTATGGGTCTCTTATAGATTTTGAGAAAATCCAATCCCATCATGCATACAAACAATTCACATTTACAAGGAGTTCTCAGTCTGAGCAAGAAGAAATTTCTCCCCATAAAATTCTGATATCTGGTCAAATTTTCGGAAATGGGCTGAGGATTAATTCAGCCCCATATATGTATATATATATATATATATATATATGGCCAAGTGGTTAGAACATTCCCATTCTGACAATGAGACCTGGGTTCGAATCTCACCATGGTTGATTTGTAAGGAAGGAGATTTCCTGATGTTATCGGACTGGAGGGGTCGATCCCAGCATGCGGCACCTTTGGAAAATGCCTGAAAACCATACCACAGGTTGACCCAAGCCTTGTGAGTGAAATTGGGTAGATGGAACCCTTGGGTGCCGTCAATAGCTGTGCTAGCACAAAGTCGCAAGTTATCATGGCTGAGGACTTGAGCATGCTGGCCTTGTTCAAATTGTTAATCATGTTAGATAACAAGATATAGTTGCAATATAAACTACAAGTGGACTGTGTGGATGTTGAATAAACACAAATGTGCCTGAGCAAGCGTCTGCAATAGGGATTAGCTAGTAGACAGGTATCCTTGAATACGAGTGGCCAGCTATATATATATATATATATATATATATATATATATGAATAAAGAGAAAAGGATAAAAATATCTTAGGTGACACATTTTGTCCTCTGAGGCACTTTATCAAGGCAAATGTAAGGATTATATTTTGTAACTAGTATTTATATACAAGAGCAAAAATGTTATTGGTTTTTCAAAACTTTTGTGTGTAGGACCACTCATAAATACATAACACATAAATTAAAAAATAATTTAAATACTAATTTGCATATAAAAATAATTTCAAAAACATCACTTACTAACTTTTGTTTATTCGATATTGAATTGTGCCACTTCATGTCTACCATAACTTGCCTGAAATTTCAGCTAACCTAATGAATATTTATGAGTATTCCTTGACCTAAAAAATTTGAAAGACCTATAATATTTTTGCTCTTGTATATAAATTCTTACAAAATAAAATCCTTGCATTTGGCTAGATAAAGTCCCTCATAGTACAAATCATGTCAGATAAGTTTTCTTTTTGTCTTTATTCATATTGTCCTTTTGCAGATATACGCTATCTGAAACTGAAATTTTGACATTATATATATATATATATATATATATATATATGTATGTATGTATATGTGTGTGTTTGTGGGCAGATCGGAATCCCCATTGTACAATACAGTATAGATACCAGCATCAGTTTGTGATTAATGTGTAGGCTGAAATTGTAGGTAACTGCCTGGTAGGTCCATATATCCTCCTAGCACATCTAATGACGGGATTCCAGCACATTTTAGTCACGTTGTTCATGATGTAGGGGCTGACATCTACCATGAAAGATGGATAGGTAGGGGAGGATCAGTTACATGGTCTGCATCTTCCATTGACCTCAGTCCTTTGGATTTTTGTCTGTGAGGCCACCTAAAACAATTGGTTTATGCAGCAGCCATTAATAATTCTGAAACACTTCATCAAAGTGTCATGGGGGCATGCAAAACCATTCAACACTATGTGGAAGTATTTGAAAGTGTCTACCAGTCAATGATCCAATGGATGCATGCATGTGTAGAAGCAAGCAGAGGACATTTTGAACATTTGTTAGGAGTTGCTGTGTTGAGGTACAATGATAGCCTTTTGGACATATGTTCATATAGACGTTTTACATTGTTTTAGTGTTAACCCACCCCCAAAGTTTGTAAAAGTATTTTTGACACCTGTATATGTATATATATATATATATGTGTGTGTGTGTGTGTGTGTGTGTGTGTGTGTGTGTGTGTGTGTGTGCATGCAAGAGTTGCTTTGAAAATAATAATTCCTATTTTATTATGTTGGTTAACAATGTCAGACAAAAAGCATAAATGTCTATATGAAACAGTGTTCCTAATTTCATCCATGCAGTAAAAAACTGTCCTCATTGATATTCATTGACATTTGCTGAATATTTCTGAAGCCCAAATAGTGGAGGTGTGCAGTTAGGCAGTGGGTAATGTGTTTCAGGAGTGGTGACAGTGATATATGTGAAAAAGTGGGTTGCCTCCATTGGTGCAGGCTTTATGAGTGCCGCATACAGACTCCAGTTCATCACTAGTGAAAATGCACAACCAATTATGGAGTCTTTGCAGATAAAATATGATCTCTCCAATATAGGCCATATCACGTTGAAACACCAGTTCCTATATGATCACTAAACTTAAGCAATGTTGAGCCTGGTAAGTGTGTTCTTTCTTTGTCATTCAGAAACCTCTGGATGGTATTCATTTCTGTGCTAGGGCTACTAAGGTGGTTGTCAGTGCCTAACAGTTTGGTGCTGATTCTTTCAGCCATCTTATCCTCCAGTGTTGTTCTCTATTTATTATCTTGATCATCCGTTTCCTTCCATTTTTCACTCTTTTCTTGTGAAAATTTCTTCTGACTTCTTGCTTTCCAGTCAACATTGGTCTTCAAAAATTTAAATGCAATGTCAATTGTTATCTTCTGTCTCTTTTCTTTTGTCTTTATCCATATTGTCCTTTTACAGATATATGCTATCTGAAATTTTTACAAATAATTTTTCATCTAAAAAATTCTAACATAAATTAACTCTAAGATAGTATGACAAGTTATGTGCTTTGTATACTAAGAAGAATTACATTAAAAGACTATTTAAATGTACAAGTATGATGCTTGGAAGTTTTCTGTTATTATTACATATTAGACTCTAAATAAAATGTAAATGTATGACTTGTGTATATAATATACTTCCATAAATGTTACTCTCTATCTATCTCTCTCTCTTTCTGTGTGTATGTGTCATGTCCTTTCAGGATGTGGATGATTATGGTTCTCCACATTTTCCTGTTTTTTTTTGCTCTAAGTATTTCTTGCTCTTTTATGACCCTTTTCTTTTCTGTGTTATTTTTTCTTCCATCCATTTACTCAATGTAGGATATTGCTCTGCTTCTCTTTATTTCAGTGTTCTGTGAGTGTTAAGTTCACCAAGTGTTCTTTCCTCATTATATCACAAAAATTTCAGATGTCTGATTTTTAGCATCAGTTTCTTTATAGTTCCTATAAACCACTTAATTTCTCATATATAATGTCCATGATATTCTGCCATTTGTTGCTAGAACCACATCTGTCACTTCAAGTATTTTCTTTGTCTGTGAAGAAATTGTTTAACATTCACTGCCATATAAGAGATTATGCATTTACTTAACAGTTCATTAATACTTTTTTTGTTTCTAAGGACATTTTCTGATCACTTAATACTTTGTTCAGTTTCTGAAAGGCATCTTTCATTATTCCTATGCACCTTCAGACTTCTCTGTCATGCTTGCCATCATTTGTTATTCTACTACCTAGATAAATTTCTATTCCCTATATGTAATGTCCATCTTAGATTGTCCCTTTTGCTGACAACCATGCATTGCATCTTCTTACAATTAATGGTTAATCATTTCCTCTTACTTTCCTCAGCTACCATCTAGTTCTTTTCATTTTCCTTCTGAATACGCCATCAACTCAGTGTTGTCTTCATAGCATATATTAAGATTATTTCTGTGGATAATAAGTTCTGATGAGTTTTCTTGTTCTTTTAAGAATTATTTGCTGTACAGGTTAAATGAATATGGTGAGAAAATTCATCCTTGTTGTATTCCTTTTTCTATTTTTTAACATTCCCTTATTTTCTACCCACATACAAGCTGTACATTTGGATGAATATTTGAATATATTTTCTGTGTTGATTGAATTTTCCTAACAATTCAAGTGATTCTTCACTTCATACTTTATCAAATGCCTTTGTATAATCTACAAAACATAGGTATAGATCTGTTCCCACTTCTCTTGCTTATTCTGATAATAAAAATTTCAGTTCTTGTTCCATTGTCTAGAACAGCATCACATTGTTCTTGCTCTATTTCTGGTTTAATTTTGCTGCAAGAATCCTAATTATTAGTTTGGTTATGCAACTCACCAAGGTGATTGTTCAATGGAGCTTGCATTCATTCGTACTTGTTTTTTTTTATAGCACTATGAGGCTTAAAGCCATATCACATTGAAGCACCAGTTCCCATACAATCACTGAAGTTAAGCAACATTCAATCTGGCCAGCAGCTGGACGTGTGACCACTTGGGAATACCAAGTGCTGTAAGCTTGGATGTACAGGTGGTGTAATGGATAATGGTTCAGAATTGTTAATCAGAGAGCCAAGTTTGAATTATGTTCAGTTATGCACAAATACATTTGAGAAAGATATGAATCCACCTCTTCTCACCTCGCTATGGGTTATTTAGTAAGACTTGTATCACTAAACTATTATTATTCCCCCCCAAAATTTTTAGACTCTGGAAATATTTTCTGGCATTAAATAAGGTTGATAAACCATAGAAAATGAATGAATCAATCAATAGTACTATGAAGATCGATCTACTGAGATCCTGTAATATTTTTCTGCTATTATATATTTCATTTATCACTTCAAAAACCTTATCAATCCCCAACTCATTTAAGGTTGTCAGCATCTCTATGACAATCTCATCTGCTTATGCTACTTTATTCCTCTTCATCTTGGCCAGTGTCGACCTAACCTCAAATTTTTGCATAGCATGTGACTCACCTCAGATGATGCTAGAACAGACTTTGCACTTGATGTTACACCAGGCCATCAAAGAAGCCAGGTGTATCAGCAGGTAGATCCAAGAAATAGCCTTCTCACTGATGTCAATGGCTGCCAACCAACATATAAACACATAAACAGATGATCAACTCAATTGCATCTAGGATGTGCACAGTATGGAAAAACCATATAACAGGCAGAAAAATAATACAACTGTAAAACATATAAACACCCACCAGAGAAGGAAAAGGTGATTCTCTTACATCCACATGAGAATGAAGAGTCCAAGCTTGGAGAGGTCCTTGGTGTTACACACCCTTTGCTCATCAAAGTGAAACAAATAATAATGTTATATATGAGAGATTCAATCTTGCATTTTCATTAGTAATGTATTACATTAGTATAACAGGTGCTTTCATGACTTTATACATTATAGGTTTTTCTTCCCTGCTGTCATAGAAGAGGTTCTTATATTTTAAAATTAAGAATCAAAGCTCTGTGAAATTTTATAAAATTATAAAGAAATTTGCTTCCTTTAAAAGCTTAAACTAATTCTTAAATATTCTTGAAAATAATTAATAAGAAACTTTGGCAATCTTAGACATTCATGGTTGCAAAAAGACAAAGTGTCAAAAGGATGCTATTTCCTTGACCCCACTATTATTTTAACTACCTTCACTCCTTGGCAATATTTATTGTTTTAAAAAGTGATGATTAGAATTATAATAAAACACAAGCATAAAAAATCCTGCCTTTTACTTGGGCTTGACCACTGATTTATTAGATTGTTGATTTACAAGAATAATTTTATATTTCAAACATTCTAATAACTAATGCAATTAAAACTAATGAAATGAAATATTTATGATTTACCAATTTATAAAGAAATAAATATGGAAACAATTTTTGCCAGCCATTCCACTAAACAATCTAATAAATAAATATATAGCATTTAATGTTTGTTGTATATTCTCAAGAACAAAAAAATGTATAAATTAAATTTCATGTATTTTGGTTTTATCAAAATTTTAATTATTGCTTTTTAAAATAATAAACATTGCTGAAGAGTGAAGGTAGTGAAAATAATAGCGGTGTCAAGGGAAGAACAGTTCTTTTGACACACCTGCATTTGTGTGGGCATGAAGGCCTAAGATTGCCTAAACTTCTTTCCTTTAAAGATTAAATTCATTTTTAAAAAAAATTGGTTTAATATTTATCAAAAAGTAATTTGTTTAATGTTCATCAACATTAAACAAATTACTTGTAAAAATCTATGCAACTCACAAGATTTAAATTTTAATATGCCTATATAACTTTTAATTAAAATACTATTTGGAAAAATTGGTTTTATGGCATTTTAAGCATGTTATCAAAGATGACCAAGCCTAAATTATTCACCTGAGTGAACAATGTGCCACCCACTCTTTTACCACCCCCAGAAATGGCTATTCATGTGTGTGTGTGTGTGTGTGTGTCTGCACATGCACTCACACACACATCTGAGGGGATATAAGACTACCACTACTTTCATATTTTATCTCAACCTTGTTATCTGTTACTTTATCAGCAGCCAGTCTCAACTGGATTCAGGATCCAGGTTTGCTTGCAGTGTGAAAAATGGTAGGAGATCCTTCTATGGGCATGTGTGTTAATTGCCTGCTACATATCATTTCAAATCTTGTAGATATTTTATTGCTATTTGACAACTGAAAAATTTAGTAATTGTCAATCTAATTGTTTAGCTGTGAATTTAGAAGTCATCTTGTGATAAAAAGTAAGCTCAAAAGAATGTCTGATATTTGTCAAAGCAAAATATTAAGAAACAGAAAATTTTCATTAGAAAGAAAGAAAAGTGTACTGAATAGTTATATAATATCAGTTCATCTACATAGCAGTGAATACTGGACAATCTCCTCCCAGATGAAGAAGAGACTTGAAGCAACAGAAATGTGGTTCTATAGAAGGATGCTGACAATACTATAAGCCAAATATGTGAGTAATGACAAAGTTTTAGAGAAAATAGAAACAAAAAGGACATTTGTACTTAACATCAGGAACATCATAGTTGAAATTTCAAAGGCACATAATGAGGAAAGAGTGCTTGGATAATTTGATACTCACAGGACAGATTGAAGGCACGAAGTGTAGAGGTAAACAATGTATAACCTAATTAGTGGGCTTGAGTAAATGGATGGCAAAGCAAAGTATAAGAGTGATAACAAAAAGATAAAATTTATTCAGAGCTACAAAGGATAGGAAATTGTGAAGAGCCATGATTGTTAATGTCCTGAAGGAACACAGCATATAGAAGAAGAAGAAGAAGACGATATTTGTCATAAAAATATTTTTTTTTAATGGGATATTCAGCTGAACAATTAATTTAATAATATTCTACAGTTGAAGTTTTTGATCCTTGTAAATTGACTGTGTTAATTATATTGAGCATATGTTTTTACATTAAGAAGTATATAAAAAAAACAAGCTTAATTTGTAGCAGAGCTGATAAACAGGTTGTCATAGACAAGGCTGAAGTTGAGAACTTGTGAAAAAAATTGAATTCAACATTTTCAAAAGGAATAAATTTCAACACATGGAAGAATTTTACATATAGAGAATAACATTATTCAAGAAGAGAAATAATATACTTGTGTGTACACAGCTGAAAAAGGAAGAAAAACATATTTAAGCTTGGATAGAATCCTTTGTTTCGTCACAGGATGACTGACTATGACTAGCAAAGACTAGGCAAGACCAGATAAGGTTTTCTAGCCTGATTGGGGACACTCAGGTTTCCCACGTTAAAACAAACTGACTATGTGTCGCATTCTGATTACGTGTGTGTATGGGGGGGGGTTTAAAGGTAAATTTGAGTAGTATTTGATTTACTCAATTTTTTCTGTTCTGTATATGAGTATTTAATAAACCACTTATTCTTTGTTTTCTCTACATAGTCTTCTGTTCTAACGATACTTGCTCTAATTATGGCCTTCCTAATCTTGGCTATTTTGAATAAAGACAACATTACATCATAATAACAAATTATGAAAAATGTGAGAGAAATTTGAAGGTGCATTGGAACAGAGAAAGAGAACTTTCAGAAACTAAACAAAGTATTAAGACATAGGAAAAGTTTGTTAGAAACAAAACATGCTGAACTACTACATCATTTTTTTTTCTTCTGTAGGGAATGCTGGAGAATTCCCCTACAGATGAAGAAGATATTCAAATTAGCAGAGATGTAGTTCTACAGATGGATGCTAAGAATATGAAACTGAACATGTGAGCAATATGTTTTAAAGGATTTTAAAGTTTTAAAGATATTGGAGACTAAAAGGACACTTATAGTTAAAATCAGAAAGAGTTAAAATTTATGAGACATATAATGAGGAAACATGACTTGGAGAACTTAACACTCACAGGACATATTGAAGGCAGTGGGTAGAGAGAAACAGCAAATAAGATCCCTAACAAGTTTGTGTGAATGGATGATAAACTGGGCACAAAGAAGGATGGTAAAGAGTCAAATTTTGCTTAGAGCTACAAGAGATAGGATTTGTGGAGAGCCATGTTTGCCCACATCCTAAAGAGACACACCACCTAAAGCAAGAAGACTGAACTAGACTGGTTAACTTGTGGCTTACTCTGATTTCAAATCTTAGCACAACTCCCTGCTTATTTTTTTAGTTTTGTCTTTTAGCTGAGTTTTCAGTTGAGTTTTTTTTTTACTGTTGGTCCAGGTCTATTGAATTACAACAAATAAAATAGAAACAGATTTAGAATTATATAACAGTTTTCAATTAGGCATAAAATTATTTTGCTATGCAGTCATTTTTCTTTTTTTGGGATAAAGAAAGAAATATATAAACAGGAAATTATTGAAAGGTAAAATTAATTTAGTATTTGTAATACATTCAGTTGATAAATATACATAAATAAATCTTCAAACTATAGGAAAAAAAAATTAATATTTTGAATTAGCATTTTCTATTTTAACCCTTTAAGCCCTGACCACTGCTTTACCGGTGATAGAGAAAAATGATATAATGCCAAGCCACCGGTGGAAAAGTGGTAGAGAAAAATGACTTAATGCCCATCTACTGGTTGAACAGTTGGTAAACACTTGTAACTATTTTTAAATCTACTGTGAAACATTATATACCAATTATTTGCAAATTTTGATTCAGGAGCTCAGGCAGAAGGGTTAAAATTGTTCAGGAACGCAGCGATAAAAGGGTTAATAACATAGATGCTATACTTTGATCTCTAAATTTTTTTTCACAATACTCTAAATATTCTTGATATAAAATGAGCAGCTCCTTTATTTATTTGCACAAATATGTAATCTCTAAAATATTCAACTTATCAAGTATCAAGTAAAACATGAAATATTTAAAATATTGTAAAATTATTCAAAATTTTATAAAGAGATTTAAACATCCTAGGTATGACGATAAACTACATTATGCAGTAAGGCCTCTAATTGGGAGGTTTTGAGAAGCACCTCTTAATTACTGTTGTTTCCAGGTTTATCCTGGC